CCTCCCCCTCTCCCATGTCCCCCCAGAACTGTCAGTCCCGTTGTTTTCTCCTCCATATTGTTCACCCACCTTGTCCTATCCAGACTTTATGTCCAGCACATAACCACTGCTCTACTACAGCTCCTTCTATCCACATAGGGACCCTGAAGTTGGGTTTTGGGCTTCCACTATCATCTGAGTTCGCAAACTTTCATTTAGATTTTCGGGTTTGGTATTGTTCCCTCCTCTGGGTCTCAGTATGACTGACAGTCTTTGGACCACGCAGACTGGTGTACTTCTTCCAGGTGGGTTTTCCTGTCCCTTCACTTAGTACATCCTTTCTCGAATGATTAAGGTAGTGCAGTCAAATATCAAAACAAGTTTGTTATGCTCCAGATAACAAATTTAGAAACATATATGCAAGAGATGTGATAGGCAAAACAGTAAGAAAGTTGGACAATGGCCATGCAGTGGTTATTGACCAAACAAGAAATCCAGTTCGTGAATATGGATAGATATTCATTGTCAAATGTAACCATAAGAGGGTCAAGGAAGGAATCGATGAAGTAACATTGACATCAGGTGAGCAAGGAATACAAAGATTGAAAGGCTCCTTTTGGTTTGTGTTTGCAACGGTATCCATTGTGAGCCATCACTTGTCTATCATTGCCCAGACTGTCACATCACATAGGCTGCATCCCGCAGCATTTCTTCTGGTTGTTATGCATAGCTGGTTTCCAACTCACAGCACCCTATGTGATGAAGTAAAAATGTCCCATAGGGTTTCCTAGGATCTAATCCTTACAGGGCTTCATTGTGTAACTCTTAAGTGCAATCTTCTGTAGAAGATTAGACTTGATAAGCAATGACAAATGCAGGTTCATTGTCACACGTGGCAGACCTTAGTCTGGAGTCGGAATCTTTCTCTGGGTTCGGCTCTCCTTGGAGTTACTGTCAATACACCTGTCTAAATGGATTGATCTTTCACTGAAACTTCTTTTCCATCTCTGTATCAGATGATGTTGGAAAACCTTTCTCTGATCTAGGAACAAAGTTAAGCAAGAAATAACTGGGGGGAAAAGTTATAATTTTCTAATAGCAACATTTAAACAATACAAAAACATGGTGACTAGAAATGGGAGCGATTAATTGGATAATTTAAAGTAGTTGAGAACACAATTGATATTAATTATTAGTGAGATGTTCTGCCTTTTTTCCCATGCAGTCCTTTAACATTTAGTGTGTGTTTTTTCAGTTGTAGTATATATCTTCTTAGATGGCAAATTGTCAATGGGAATACTTGATCAATATATTAAGTTAGAAGTTCAAAAAATAACTTCAAATCTTTGCATTGCTAAGTTTTCTAATTGCCGATCTGTGTATTTGTTATTGAATAAAATGGGGACGTAGGTGAGATCTCATTAGCTATATTTCAAGTGCTCGATGCCCCTATTTGACAGACGACTGCCGTATCAGACAGCGCATACCAAGAAAATAATCGACAGCACAACATAATGAAGCAAGCGCACAAGGTTTGCTGCGGACAGACTCGGCAGTCGTGGGTGGGCACCTTCAGAAAGCCCCCAGCTGGAGCCGTTCTGTAGCCTGACAGTCAAGGCTGAGTTGTAGCAGTGACAAGTGCTGGGGTTGTCGGAATGGAGCGGCTTACTTTAGAAAGTCTGTCTTCTGCCTGCAGGCACGGAACCCGCTGTGCTGGAGAAGTGGCAGCGGCTGCAAACAACTCGCACTGCACAGTTGGAATTGCGTTCAACGCCAAGATTGGAGGTATGGGGACAAGCGGCATGGGTGTAGACAACGGCCGAGAGCTCTCGTGCTAACTGGCTTTCAGAAACTGGAGGCAAGCGTGTATTTGCAAAGTAGTGTTTAACTATGGCTGGCAGCCAAATGACCAGTGTTCACCAGTTGTTAAATGCAGTCAAAGACTTC